GGTGGGATGGGGGCGCTTTTGGGGGTTTTGGGGTTTTTGGGGGTTTGGGGGCTGGGGAGGGGGTTTATGGGGGGTGTTTAGGGGGTGTTTGGGGGTGAGGGATCCAGGGATGGGGGCGCTGCCTCGACATCCTCGAGGACTACCTCATCCACAGGAGGTGGGATGGGGGCGTTTTTGGGGGAGTTTTGGGGTTTTTGGGGTGTTTAGGGGGTTTATGGGGTGTTTGGGGTGAGGGGATTCAGGGATGGGGCGCTGCCTCGACATCCTCGAGGACTACCCTCATCTACAGGAGGTGGGCCATGGGGTTTTGGGGGCTTTTTGGGTTTTGGGGGTTTGGGGGTCAGGAGATCCAGAGGATTGGGTTTTATGGGGTGTTTATGGGGTGTTTGGGGGTGAGGAGATCCAGGGAGGGGGTTTGTGGGGGTGAGGGGCTCCAGGGATGGAGACGCTGCCTCGACATTCTCAAGGACTACCTCATCCACAGGAGGTGGGATGGGGGTTTTGGGGGTTTTGGGGTTTTGGGAGGTTTGGGGGTCAGGAGATCCAGGGAGGGCTTATGGGGTGTTTGGGGGTGTTTGGGGGCTGAGGGGATCCAGGGATGGGGGCGCTGCCTCGACATCCTCGAGGACTACCTCATCCACAGGAGGTGGGATGGGGGCTTTTTGGGGGCTTTTGGGGTTTTTGGGGATTTGGGGGTTTATAGGGTGTTTATGGGGGGTTTATGAGGTGTTTGGGGGGTGAGGGGATCCAGGGATGGGGGCGCTGCCTCGGCATCCTCGAGGACTACCTCATCCACAGGAGGTGGGCTGGGGCTTTTTGGGGGATTTTGGGGTTTTTGGGGGTCTTGTGGGGGGTTTATGGGGTGTTTATGGGGGTTTATGGGGTGTTTGGGGGTGAGGGATCCAGGGATGGGGGCGCTGCCTCGACATCCTCGAGGACTACCTCATCCACAGGAGGTGGGGTTTGGGGTCTTTGGGGGTTTTGGGGTTTTTGGGGTCTTTGTGGGGTTTTTGAGGTGTTTATGGGGTGTTTGGGGGTGAGGGATCCAGGGATGGGAGCGCTGCCTCGACATCCTCGAGGACTACCTCATCCACAGGAGGTGGGCTCCGGGGTTTTGGGGGGCTTTGGGGGTTTTTGGGGTTTGGGGGGTTTGGGGGTGTTTGGGGGTCAGGAGATCCAGGAGGGGGTTTATGGGGTGTTTTAGGGGTTTATGGGGGTGAGGGATCCAGGGATGGGGGCGCTGCCTCGACATCCTCGAGGACTACCTCATCCACAGGAGGTGGGATGGGGGTTTTTGGGGGTTTTGGGGTTTTGGGGTGTTTGGGGGCTGGGGAGGGGGTTTATGGGCTGTTTGGGGGTGTTTGGGGATGTTTGGGGGCGCTTGGGGGTGAGGGATCCAGGGATGCAGGCGCGTCTCGACATCCTCGAGGACTACCTCATCCACAGGAGGTGGGCTGCGGGGTTTTTGGGGGTTTTGGGGTTTTGGGGTGTTTGGGGGCTGGGAGGGGGTTTATGGGCTGTTTGGGGGTGTTTGGGGGATGTTTAGGGGTGTTTATGGGGGTGAGGGGATCCAGGGATGGGGGCGCTGCCTCGACATCCTCGAGGACTGCCTCATCCACAGGAGGTGGGATGGGGGGTTTTTTGGGGGGGTTTTGGGGTTTTTGGGGGGCTTTTGGGGTTTTTGAGGTGTTTATGGGGTGTTTATGGGGTGTTTGGGGGGTGTTTGGGGGGTGAGGGGGCCACCTGGACACCTCGGTAGCCACCTGAGGGTCCTGTTTTTAATGAGCACTTGAGGGTCCTGGTTCCAATGGCCACCTGGACACCTCGGTGGCCACCTGAGAGTCCTGGTTCTGATGGCCACCCAGACACCTCAGTGGGCACCTGGACACCTCGGTGGCCACCTGAGGGTCCTGGTTTTAGTGGCCACCTGGACACCTCAGTAGTCACTTGGAGACCTTGGTGGCCACCTGAGGGTCCTGGTCTGAATGACTACCTGGATACCTTGGTAGCCACCTGGACAACTCAGTGGCCACCTGAGGGTCCTGGTTTTGATGACCAGCTGGCCCTCTCGGTGGCTACCTGAGGGTCCTGGTCTTAATGCCCACCTGGACACTTTGGTAGCCACCTGGACACCTTGGTAGCCACCTGTATACCTCAGTAGCCACCTGAGGGTCTCAGTGGCCACCTGGCCAGCTTGGTAGCCACCTGGACACCTCGGTAGCCACCTGGACACCTCGGTAGCCACCTGGACACCTCGGTAGCCACCTGAGGGTCCTGGTTTTGATGGCCACCTGGACATCTCAGTAGCCTCCTGGACACTTTGGTAGCCACCTGGACACCTCAGTGGCCACCTGAGGGTCCTGGTCTTAATGCCCACCTGGACACCTTGGTAGCCACCTGGGTACCTCAGTGGCCACCTGAGGGTCCTGGTCTCGGTGGCCACCTGAGGGTTGTGGTTTCGATGGCCACCTGGACACCTTGGTGGCCACCTGGGGGTCTCAATGACCACCTGGACACTTTGGTGGCCACCTGAACACCTCGGTAGCCACCTGAGGGTCCTGGTCTTAATGAGCACCTGGACACTTCAGTAGCCACTTGGCCAGCTCGGTAGCCACCTGGACACTTTAGCAGCCACCTGGACACTTTGGTGGCCACCTGAGGGTTCTGGTTCTGGTGCCCACCTGGACACCTTGGTAGCCACCTGGACAATTCAGTGGCCTCCTGAGGGTCCTGGTTCCGATGGCTACCTGGACACCTTGGTGGCCCCCTGAGAGTCCTGGTCTTAATGACCACCTGGACATCTCAGTAGCCACCTGGACACTTTGGTAGCCACCTGGACACCTCGGTAGCCACCTGAGGGTCCTGGTTCCAATGGCCACTTGGACACCTTGGTAGCCACCTGGACACCTCAGTAGCCACCTGGACACCTTGGTGGCCACCTGAGGGTCCTGGTTCTGATGGCCACCTGGACACCTTGGTGGCCACTTGAGGGTCTCGATGGCCACCTGGACACCTTGGTAGCCACTTGGACAACTCAGTGACCACTTAAGGGTCCTGGTTCCAATGGCCACCTGGACATCTTGGTGGCCACCTGAGGGTCTTGGTTTCAGTGGCCACCTGGACACTTTGGTGGCCACCTGGACGTCTCAGTGACCGCTTGAAGGTCCTGGTTCCAATGGCCACCTGGACACCTTGGTGGCCACCTGAGGGTCCTGGTCTTAATGACCACCTGGACATCTCAGTAGCCACCTGGACATTTTGGTAGCCACCTGGACACCTCAGTGGCCACCTGAGGGTCCTGGTTTCAATGACCACCTGGACACCTCGGTGGCCACCTGAGGGTCCTGGTTTCAGTGGCCACCTGGGGGTCCTGGTTTCAATGACCACCTGGACACCTCGGTGGCCACCTGGACACCTTGGTGGCCACCTGGACACCTTGGCGGCCACCTGGACACTTTAGTAGCCACCTGGACACCTCAGTGGCCACTTGAGGGTCCTGGTTCTGATGGCCACCTGGACACCTTGGTAGCCACCTGGGGGTCTCAATGACCACCTGGACACCTCAGTAGCCACCTGAGAGTCCTGGTTTCAGTGGCCACCTGGACACCTTGGTAGCCACCTGGACAACTTGGTGACCACCTGGGGGTCTCAATGGCCACCTGGACACCTTGGTGGCCACCTGGGGGTCTCAATGACCACCTGGACAGCTTGGTGGCCATCTGGACACCTTGGTGGCCACCTGGACAATTCAGTGGCCACCTGAGGGTCCTGGTTCCGATGGCCACCTGGGGGTCTTAATGACCACCTGGGCTCTTTGGTAGCCACCTGGACACCTCGGTAGCCACCTGAGGGTCCTGATCTCAATGGCCATCTGAGGGTCCTGGTTCTGATGGCCACCTGGACAACTCAGTGGCCACCTGAGGGTCCTGGTTCTGGTGACCACTTGGCCACTTTGGTAGCCACCTGGACACCTCAGTGGCCACCTGGGGGTCTCAATGACCACCTGGCCACTTTGGTAGCCACCTGGACATTTTGGTAGCCACCTGGCCACCTCGATATCCCCCCCTAGCCCCCCTCCTGACCCCCCTTTCCCCCAGGTACCCGTGCAGGCGCATCGACGGGCGGGTGCGGGGCAGCTCTGCGGCAGGCGGCCATCGACCGCTCCAGCCGGCCCGACTCGGACCGCTCGTGTTCCTGCTGTGCACGAGGGCGGGCGGGCTGGGCATCAACCTGACTGAGCCGCCCGACACCTGCATCATCTTTGATTCTGATTGGAACCCACAGAATGATCTACAGGTGAGTTTAGGGGGCTCCCAGGGGGTTTGGGGTCTCTGCATCATCTTCGACTCGGACCGCTTCGTGTTCCTGCTGTGCACGAGGGCGGGCGGGCTGGGCATCAACCTGACGGCTGCCGACACCTGCATCATCTTTGATTCTGACTGGAACCCTCAGAACGATTTACAGGTGAGTTTGGGGGGGTTTGGGGGTTTGGGAGTCTCTGCATCATCTTTGATTCGGATTGGAACCCTACAGAATGATTTACAGGTGAGTTTGGGGGCTCCCAGAGGGGTTTAGGGGGGCTTTAGGGGAGTTTGGGGTCTCTGCATCATCTTTGATTCTGATTGGAACCCACAGAATGATCTCCAGGTGAGAAATGGGGGTTTGGGGGGTTTGGGGTCTCTGCATCATCTTTGACTCGGACTGGAACCCCCAGAACGATCTACAGGTGAGCTGGAGCGGGGTTTGCGTGCCATCCAGGGGGGTTTGGGGTCTCTGCATCATCTTCGACTCGGATTGGAACCCCCAGAATGATCTGCAGGTGAGAAATGGGGGGGTCCTGGGACACCCAGGGGGGGTTTGGGGTCTCTGCATCATCTTTGACTCGGATTGGAACCCCCAGAATGATTTACAGGTGAGTTTGGGGGTTTGGGAGGGTTTGGGGGGGTTTGGGGTCTCTGCATCATCTTCGACTCGGATTGGAACCCCCAGAATGATTTGCAGGTGAGAAATGGGGGGTTTTGGGGTCCCTGGGACATCCACGGGGGGTTTGGGGTCTCTGCATCATCTTCGACTCGGACTGGAACCCCCAGAACGATCTACAGGTGAGTTTGGGGGGGTTTGGGGGGGTTTGGGGTCTCTGGGAACCATCCAGGGGTGTTTGGGGGGGTTTGGGGTCTCTGCATCATCTTTGACTCGGATTGGAACCCACAGAATGATCTACAGGTGAGAAATGGGGGCTCCCAGGGACACCCAGGGGGGGTTTGGGGTCTCTGCATCATCTTTGACTCAGATTGGAACCCCCAGAATGATTTACAGGTGAGTTTGGGGGGGGTTTGGGGGGGTTTGGGGTCTCTGCATCATCTTCGACTCGGACTGGAACCCCCAGAACGATTTACAGGTGAGCTGGAACGGGGTTTGGGTACCATCCAGGGGGGTTTGGGGTCTCTGCATCATCTTCGACTCGGACTGGAACCCACAGAACGATCTGCAGGTGAGTTTGGGGGCTCCCAGAGGTTTGGGGGGTTTGGGGTCTCTGCATCATCTTCGACTCGGATTGGAACCCCAGAAGCGATCTGCAGGTGAGCTGGGACACCCAGGGGGGGTTTGGGGTCTCTGGAATCCTCAGGGAGGGGTTTTGGGGTCTCTGCATCATCTTTGACTCGGACTGGAACCCCCAGAACGATTTACAGGTGAGAAATGGGGGTTTAGGGTCTCTGCATCATCTTCGACTCGGACTGGAACCCCCAGAATGATTTACAGGTGAGTTTGGGGGGTTTGGGGGGTTTGGGGTCTCTGGGATCCCACCTGGGGGGGTTTGGGGTCTCTGCATCATCTTTGATTCCGACTGGAACCCCCAGAATGATCTACAGGTGAGAAATGGGGAGGGGTTTGGGGGTCCCTGGGACACCCAGGGGGGGTTTGGGGTCTTTGCATCATCTTTGATTCTGATTGGAACCCACAGAACGATCTGGGTGAGAGAATGGGGGTTTGGGGTCTCTGAGATCCCACCTGGGAGTTTGGGGGGTTTGGGAGTCTCTGCATCATCTTCGACTCGGATTGGAACCCTCAGAACGATTTACAGGTGAGAGCTGGAACAGGGTTTGGGGTCTCTGCATCATCTTCGACTCGGATTGGAACCCCAGAACGATTTACAGGGTGAGTTTGGGGGTTTGAGGGGTTTAGGGTCTCTGCATCATCTTCGACTCGGATTGGAACCCCAGAACGATTTACAGGTGAGTTTGGGGGGTTGGAGGGGTTTGGGGTCTCTGCATCATCTTCGACTCGGTTGGAACCCACAGAACGATTTACAGGTGAGTTTGGGGGTTTGGGGGCTTGGGGTCTCTGAGATCCCACCTGGGGGGTTTGGGGTCTCTGCATCATCTTCGACTGGACTGGAACCCCAGAACGATTTACAGGTGAGTTTGGGGGCTCCCAGGGAGTTTGGGGTCTCTGCATCATCTTTGACTCGGATTGGAACCCCCAGAACGATTTACAGGTGAGGAATGGAGGGGGTTGGGGGGGTTTGGGGGGGTTTGGGGTCTCTGCATCATCTTCGACTCGGACTGGAACCCCCAGAACGATTTACAGGTGAGAAATGGGGGGGTTTGGGGTCCCTGGGATCCCACCTGGGGGGGTTTGGGGTCTCTGGGTCCCTCAAGGAGGTGTTTTTGGAGGTCAGGAGGTGTTTTTGAGGTCAGGTAAGTTTTTTCGGGGTCGGGAGGTGGTTTTGGGGTCAGGAGGCAGTTTTGGGGTCTCTGGGTGGGTCAGGTTGGTGTTTTTGGGGTCAGGGAGGTGTTTTTGGGGTCAGGGAGGTGATTTTGGGGTCGGGGAGTTGTTTTTGGGGTCAGGAGGTGGTTTTGGGGTCTCTGGGTGGGTCAGGGAGGTGTTTTTGGGGTCAGGCACCTCAGGGAGGTGGTTTTGGGGTCCAGGAGGTGTTTTTCGGGTTTCTGGGTGGGTCAGGGAGGTGTTTTTGGGGTCAGGAGATATTTTTGGGGTCAGGCTGCTCAGGGAGGTGTTTTTGGGGTCAGACCCCTCAGAGTTGGTTTTGGGGTCTCTGGTTGGGTCATGGAGTTGTTTTTGGGGTCGGGGAGTTGTTTTTGGGGTCAGGGAGGTGTTTTTGGGGTCAGGGAGGTGATTTTGGGGTCGGGGAGTTGTTTTTGGGGTCATGGAGTTGTTTTTGGGGTCGGGGAGGTGTTTTTGGGGTCAGGGAGGTGTTTTTGGGGTCAGGCTCCTCAGGGAGTTGTTTTTGGGGTCGGGGAGTTGTTTTTGGGGTCAGGGAGTTGTTTTTGGGGTCAGGGAGTTGTTTTTGGGGTTGGGGAGGTGTTTTTGGGGTCAGGGAGTTGTTTTTGGGGTCAGGGAGGTGTTTTTGGGGTCAGCCCCCCCCCGAATGCCCCCGCTGTGTCCCCCAGGCGCAGGCGCGGTGCCACCGCATCGGGCAGAGCCAGGCGGTGAAAGGTTTTGGGGTCAGGGAGGTGTTTTTGGGGTCAGGGAGTTGATTTTGGGGTCTCTGAGTGGGTCAGGGAGGTGTTTTTGGGGTCAGGGGGGTGTTTTTGGGGTCAGCCCCTCCCCTGAATGTCTCCCCCCAGGCGCAGGCGCGGTGCCACCGCATCGGGCAGAGCAAGGCGGTGAAGGTTTTTGGGGTCAGGGAGGTGGTTTTGGGGTCATGGAGGTGATTTTGGGGTCAGGGAGGTGTTTTTGGGGTCAGCCCCTCCTCTCACGTCCCCCCCCCAGGCGCAGGCGCGGTGCCACCGCATCGGGCAGAGCAAGGCGGTGAAGGTTTTTGGGGTCAGGGAGGTGATTTTGGGGTCAGGGAGGTGGTTTTGGGGTCTCTGGATGGGTCAGGGAGTTGTTTTTGGGGTCAGACCCCCCCTGAATGCCCCCCCTGTGTCCCCCCTCAGGCGCAGGCGCGGTGCCACCGCATCGGGCAGAGCAAGGCGGTGAAGGTTTTTGGGGTCAGGGAGGTGGTTTTGGGGTCAGGGGGGTGGTTTTGGGGTCTCTGGGTGGGTCAGGGAGGTGTTTTTGGGGTCAAGGAGGTGGTTTTGGGGTCTCTGGGTGGGTCAGGTTGGTGTTTTTGGGGTCAGCCCCTCCTCTCCTGTCCCCCCCCAGGCGCAGGCGCGGTGCCACCGCATCGGGCAGAGCAAGGCGGTGAAGGTTTTTGGGGTCAGGGAGGTGTTTTTGGGGTCTCTGGTTGGGTCAGGGAGTTGATTTTGGGGTCAGGGGGGTGTTTTTGGGGTCAGACCCCTCAGAGTTGGTTTTGGGGTCTCTGGGTGGGTCAGGGAGGTGATTTTGGGGTCAGGGAGGTGTTTTGAGGTCAGCCCTCCTCTCCTGTCCCCCCCCAGGCGCAGGCGCGGTGCCACCGCATCGGGCAGAGCAAGGCGGTGAAGGTTTTTGGGGTCAGGGAGGTGTTTTTGGGGTCAGGGAGTTGATTTTGGGGTCTCTGGGTGGGTCATGGAGGTGATTTTGGGGTCAGGGAGGTGTTTTTGGGGTCAGCCCCTCCTCTCACGTCCCCCCCCCAGGCGCAGGCGCGGTGCCACCGCATCGGGCAGAGCAAGGCGGTGAAGGTTTACCGGCTCATCACCCGCAACTCGTACGAGCGCGAGATGTTCGACAAGGCCAGCCTGAAGCTGGGCCTGGACAAGGCCGTGCTGCAGTCCATGAGCGGCCGCGAGGGCAGCATCGCCGGGGTGAGCCGCGCTGGGGGTGGGACGGACCCAGATGGGTCCCCACTTGGGTTGGGAGAGCACCAGATGGGTTCCCAGTTGGGTTGGGAGAGTTTCGGTTGGGTTGGGAGAGCCCCAGCTGGGTTGGGAGAGCCCCAGTTGGGTTGGAAGGCTCCAGTTGGGTTGGAAGGCCCCAGTTGGGTCCCCTAAGGTTTGGAAGGCCCCAGTTGGGTTGGAAGGCCCCAGTTGGGTTACTGGTTGGGTTGGAAGGCCCTAGTTGGGTTGGAAGGCCCCAATTGGGTTGGAAGGCCCCAGTTGGGTTACTGGTTGGGTTGGAAGGCCCCAGTTGGGTTCCCAGTTGGGTTGGAAGGCCCCAGTTGGGTTCCTGGTTGGGTTGGAAGGCCCCAGTTGGGTTCCTGGTTGGGTTGGAAGACCCCAGTTGGGTTTGAAGACTCCCAGTTGGGTTTGAAGGCCCCCAGTTGGGTTGGGAGAGCCCCAGTTGGGTTGGAAGAGTTTCAGTTGGGTTGGAAGACCCCTGGTTGGGTTGGAAGGCCCCAGTTGGGTTGGAAGGCCCCCAGTTGGGTTTGAAGACCCCCAGTTGGGTTGGAAGGCCCCAGTTGGGTTCTGAGTTGGGTTGGAAGGCCCAGTTGGGTTCCTGGTTGGGTTTGAAGACCCCCAGTTGGGTTTGGAGGTGAGGGTGTGGTCGGTGCCGTGCAGATCCAGCAGTTGGGTT